AATGATTTTTTTTTGATTTTTATTTAATGATTTTTATTTTTCTTTTAATGATTTTATTTAATGATTTTTTTTATGATTTTTATTTAATGATTTTTTTCTTTTTTTTTTTTCTTTAATTATTTTTATTTAATGATTTTTTATGATTTTTCTTTAATGATTTTTTAATGATTTTCTTTATTTTTTTTCTTTAATTTTTTATTTAATGATTTTTTTTAATGATTTTTCTTTAATGATTTTTTATTTAATGATTTTTTTGGCGTGAAACTTATCTTCTTTATGTTGTGGATGGTCAACATAATGTCCTTGGAGTTATTGCGGTTCTATTCATCATCTTTATCCTTTTTAAAAAAATCGGTCTTGAAAACTTCTTTACTTCTCAATTCTCTCACTTTCCGAAATTTTGTTTTTGTCTGATTTAAAAGTCCATTGTCTTTCTCTTAAATATTTCTCGTGCCTCCGCTGGTAGGTTATCGGATCCAACTACCTTTCCAATCTTTATTCTCTTCAAAGTATTTTTCATTTCCTTCTTGATAATCTTTTGCACCTCGTGGTTCATCCTTTCATCCACTTCATCTAAGCTTCTCTCTCTCTGTCTCTTTCTTTTCTCTTTTCTCCTTTTTCTCATTCTTTCTCACTCCTTCCCATTCCCTCTCTCTCTCTCTCTCCTCTCCTCCTTCTTTCGCTCTTCCATCTCCTTCCTCCTATTTACTCTCCTCTTAACTTCCGTCTCCATCATTTCTTTTCGCCCTGTCTTCTCTCTCCTCATTTCCTTCTCTCTCTCTCTCTCTCGCTCCCTCCCTCCCTCCTCCCTCTTCTCTCTCTCTCTCTCTCTCTTTCTCTCTTTTCTCTTCTCTCCCTCCTCCCTCCCTCCCTCCTTCCTCTCTCTCTCTCTCTCTCTCTCTCTCTCTCTCTCTTCTCTCTCTCTCACTCCCTCTCCCTCTCTCTCTCTCTCTCTCTCTCTCTCTCTCTCTCCTCCCCTCCCTCCTCCCTCTCTCTCTCTTTCTCTCTCTTCTCCTCTCTCTCTCTCTCTCTCCTCTCTCTCCTCCCTCCCTCTCTCTCTCTCTCTCTCCTCTCCTCTCTCTCTCTCTCTCTCCCTCCGCTCTCTCTCTCTCTCTCTTCTCTCTCTCTCTCTCTCCTCTCTCTCCTCCCTCCCTCTCTCCTCTCCCCTCCCCCTCCCTCTCTCTCCTCCCTCCCTCCCTCCCTCCCTCTCTCTCCTGCATCAAATATCTTCTCAAAATACTCCATCCACTTCAACACATTTCCTTTGGTTATCGGCACAGTTCCCTGTCACCTTTGAATACTTGTGCAATTTTAGTGCCTCCAGTAATAGTAATAATACTGATAATGATTAATATAGTCCTAGTATCCCTTTTATTATCATTATTATTATCATTACTATTATTTTCATCAGCATCATTATTATATTATTTCATTATATTATCATTATTTCATTATTTATAATCATTATAATTATTATATTTCATTATTATCATTATAAATCATTATTATCATTATTATTATCATTATATAATCATTATTATTATAATCATTATTATCATCATCATTGTTATAATAACATTTTATTATCATCAATATCAATGTTATTATCCTTATTACTAATACCATCATTATCATAATTTTTATCATTTCTATCACCAAAATTAGCAGTTGCATTTCTTTTATTATGACGTCGTTATTCTTAATTTTATCACGAATTTTGATATCTTTACTATATCTATTTTCAGAATTGTTAAAGGTATAGGTATATATTACCTTTAATATCTTCATACGCATCATAATAATAATTTCAACATAATTTTTGCTTGATAAAGACATTTGTATTACGTATGTAACTGATACCAGGAAAAAGTCATAATCTAAAAGTCTATATATTAATGAATGGAATTATCAGCAAACAGGTGATCAATTTTAGGAGAAAAAAATATCTTTGGGGAAGAATATCAAATTTATTAAATATTCTTAGAATCGTTGATGGTGTAATAGAAAGTTTTTTTTTTTTTTTTTTTTTTTTTTTTTTTTGGCGAAGGAGAGGCGAGAGGGAAGACAGGAAGAAAGAGAATAAAGTGGAGAGGGATGATAAAAGGGAAGAGATTGGAGAGGAAATGCAGGAAGAGAGAGAGAGAGCGAGAGAGAAAATAGGATTAGAGGGATTGGAGAGGAAAAAGGAGGAGGTGAGAGAGGGAGAGGGAAGATAGGATGATAGAAAAAAAGGAAGAGAAGAGGAGGAGAGATTAGAGAAGGGAGAGAGAAGGAGAGAAGGAAAAGGAAGACAGGATAAGAGAAACGATGGAGAGGAGGAGGAGAGAAGGAAGGGAGGAGAGAGGGGGAGAAGAAAGATTAGAACGAGAGAAAAAAAAAAATGTAGCAGAGTAGAAGTGATTTTAGAGAAGGAAGGGAGGGAGGGGAGCGAGGGGAGAGGGAAAAATAGGATGAGAGAGATGAAGAGAACAGACAGAGAGAGAGAGAGAGAGGAGAGAGAGAGAGAGAGAGAGAGAGGAGAGAGAGAGGAGAAGAGAGAGAGGAGAGGAGAGAGAAGAGAGAGAGAGAAGAGGAGAGAGGAGAGAGAGAGAGAGAAAAAGGAGGGAGCGGAGAAGAGAGGGAGCGAGAAAGGAGGATAATGAATAACAGAATATAGAAAAGAAAGAAAGAAAAAAAAATCTTTTCTATTACCGAGAATATCGAAAAAAAAATTGAAAATATCATTTCTATTACTAATGGGTTTCATATTTCATCTTATTGACCTCAACATCTTCACACACAGACAGACACACACCTTGATATATAAACAAACCGGACCATATATATACCCCCCGGCCCGCCCCCCGCCCCTGTCACTCTAAGCATTTATGTAAGAAAACGAAAAGCTATAGATTATTTTTATTTCATTACTTATTTTTATTTTTTTTTTATTATTATTGTTGTTATTATTATTTATTATTATTATTATTAAATTATTATTATTATTATTATTATTATTATTTATTAATTATATTATTATTATTATTATTATTATTATTATTATTATGTTTATAAACTTGCTCTTGATTATGGCAGAGGGGACTGATGTTTGTCAATTTGTCATCAGACCTTGTAAATTTGAATAGTAAATAGGATACGGTTTTTAATCTTCGGTGTTATTTTGGTCAGAGGGGGAGAAGGAGGAAGAGGGGGAAGAGAGAGAGAGGAGAGAGAGAGAGAGGGAGAGAGAGGAAAGGGAGAGGAGAGAAGGGATGGGAAGGGAAGAGGAGAATGAGGGAGAAAGGGAGATAGAGGGAGGAGGAAGGGAGGAGGAGGAAGAAGGGGAAAAGAAAGGGAAGAGGAGGAGGAGGGAGAGGAGGAGGAGGAGGAGGAGGAGGGGAGAGAGAGAGAGAGAGAGAGAGAGAGAGAGAGAGAGAGAGAGAGAGAAGA